TGAAGAGTCTGTTGTGACCAAAATCAGCGACTAGAAGATGTATCACAAAGATTAGCATAGTCATTTGTTTATTTTGTTAGCTTGTAACTGGTATTTGCTGACACAGTGTTTGTGGCTGTGCTAATGCAAACTCTCGCTCTCTGTACTGGCAAGGTTTCAGGTTCATGTTTGCCCCACCCCTCTGCAAGTCTCTGCAGGTTGATGGGATTGGTTCCTCATGTTATTTGACGTATGAAACCCTGGCTGTCTGGATCTGTTTTCACTGCAGTTCCAAGGTGGAAATACAGAGTCACGGTGTTGACTGATTATTTTGCTCATGATATGTTGCTATATGTATATGGTAAATCCACCATATAGACATGTTAACAAGATAAAAAAAAACATCTTTAAGTTGCCAGAAGACCAACTCTCTCCTCTTTTGGTCGACCTGCAACAAGCTAACAGCACAGTATGTCCATTTAATGCACTGAGATGAAATTGATATCAACCCACAATCAATCACACAATCCACTAAGAGCAACAAAGTGTTATTTCAATTAGAAAACTGTATTGTTATTAATGAATTTCAAATCGCAACCCCTAACACTACTCACTACTAAGTAAAACATTAAAGCCCAACACTGCCCCCTGGCATCATCTCTCTTTGGATCAAGGACATTCAGGCACAACTTTGAAACAGGACCTGGGTTTTTGAAAGACTGTTGGTGATTCATCTCTCAGAAAAATGCTCTCTTACAGTCGTTCTATGGCTCAAATGGGATGATAATACATAAGAGGCACAAACTGGGGCTAGTAGATACTCAGAAAGATATTCTCTAGGCCTCGCCCTCCCGAAAGACTTTCAACCACCTAATAACATAATTTTCTGCTGGAAGCACCTCTCGTCCTTGGATCTGATTTTCTCTCACCTTAGCTCCCGCTCCTCTCTGTGGTGTTACATCATTTGTCTGCATGTCTTTGTCTCTCTCCTCTCTGTCTTTCTCTCCTCCTCTGCTCCTCTGTGCAAGGATCATCAGCCCAGAGGTTGGTGACCCGCTTAGTAGCTCTGGAACAGATGTTCATGGGGCAGAGCCTGTGAATGTGTGTGTGTGTGTGTGTGTGTGTGTGTGTGTGTGTGTGTGTGTGCGCGCACATCGACTTACGATGGGGCTGGACAACAACAACTAACAAGCACTGGGCACTTAGACTGTGGAGATGGATTAGTGTTTTATGGCTCAGGAGGATGGAGGGATGAACGATAAAGGGATAGTTTGAAGGGATTGGAAGCAGGGTTTGGGTTTTTGGGGGCCGCAAGGGATTAAAACAACTGTGGCTGGTGAGAACAGTAGCATTTTTACGATGCTGTGATTCTCAGACCAACAGGGAGGCATGCAGTGAGCTTTCACAGGTCAAAGCTGGGTCGAAGGAAGAAAAAGAAAAAACATAGGGAGAAGGGGGGGGGGGGGGGGGGGGGGGGGGGGGGGGGGGGGAGTGGTGACTACAGTGAAAAGATGAATAGGATTTTGTTGAATGTCTGTAGAGACCACTGGCAGCCTGTCTGTCACTTTCTGTCAGTTGGTCTCTAAGGGCTTTGTTGAACCTGTAGAGAGGATACAACGTCTCCTCTGGCAGCCATGTTGGATTTCTGTAGCCCATGGCAGCCAGCTGTGAAAACACTGAACAGACATGGATATAACAGCTATTTTCATTGTATGTTCTGGTCAATTCTGCATCTAGTTTGTAAAACTAACTAGCAAGACATTTCATGTTGTTATGTAGCTGTATACTGAGGTTGCAGTAGCATTGGCTGTTGGTTCATGTTACCCTTTCTTTTCAAACTACATTTCCTCAACACCTGAACTACCGTATTCATCTGCACAAGCGCACTTACACTTAGCTGTCTTGACTCAAACAGCTGATCTGCGGAGTAATACAGTGCATGCCTTAAGTGCGCTTGTGCGTAGTAATACGGTAGTTCATCGACTGAGAAAATGTAGAAAGACGCCTGAGAACTTGTACTGTCATAATCTGGATTGGAAAAGAAATTCATTCTTGACATTGGAAATGTAGCTTTCAACCACATCACATGGTTATCATCAGTGGATGGCATTTGGTCAGTTGTCATGTAGCTCAATCTGTTGACATATAAACTAGCTAGTACTTTTTTGTGTCAATTACATAATATGACCTCAGAGAAAACATTCAGCCTATTTGATAGAGATTGTTTTTGTATTTAACAACTGAAAAAGGCGGCTAACAAGTAAAATCAGCGATGATGCGTTAGGTGTCACTGCAATAGTTTAGTGATGTTTTTTATATGTGGTCCCACCCCATGGGATTCATTTTCACTTCCTCTGCATTATTTTCTGCCTTTTAGGATAAAACGTCGTCTTCCAGCAGTAATTCAAAGCACATTTAACTAATAAGGCACAGTGTCTAGAAATGTTTCTCAGTCTGATTGCTTTAATGTGCTCTTATAATCATACATGTGTCAGTAGTCCCATTCATACAGTGTACTTTGTTTGTGGTTGAAATACTTTTCTTTTTATTAATTTACTTTGTTCACTTTTGCTTCAAGCCAATTAAGGTGAAGGCTGCTCTGTTCTCTGTGTCTGTGTGTCATCAGGAAGCATTAGCTGCTGTAATTAAAGCATCTTTATCTCTCCAATTAAATCTCGTCTCCTCTTCCATGTTCTTCTTAGACCCCCCCCCCCCCCCCCCCCCCCCCCCCCCCCCCCCCCCCCCCACAACCCACACACTGACACACATGGAGCGGTACAGCCTGTTTGTTTTGCGGCTGTGTTCTCCACCTGACAATTGGACAGCGTTGGCGGCTATTATTAATTTCTGCAGGTACTGAAAAGTGTGTGCATGAGCGCGTGTATGATGGGATCTGAGGCGCAGCGGTGCACTCAGTCCATTCTCAGCCTGCTCAACTGAAACACACAAATTACTTCTTTATAGTGAGACCTAGTGATTTTACATATATGTGGCTTTCAGCACAGCAGACGCCGCTCAATTACTGTCTGTCTTTGTCTTTAGATTGTGTATATGGCTTAAGACCCACTAAGCTGGATGGCTTAGAGGTATTTGAATTGAAAAAATAGAGAAACAACTGATGGCTATATTAAGAGGAAGCCTTATGACTAATATGTTTAATTTTCAAAATGTCACAAAAAAGCACACATCTGTCATAAAATTATTACAGTAAATGCAATGGGACGTGTACTGTTAGTTTAACAGGACGGAAATGTAATGATAGGAAATTACATTTTATTGTGTTTTGGGGGAAATTTTAGACTTTGAATGGTGGAAATGCAGTCTAGCAAATTATACCTTGGATACAAGCTGTTTTTTTTCCAGGTGGCAAAGGGCCATTGTATTGTTTCCTAATCCTCGGTGTGTGCAGCATTCACCAGTCCCCAAACAGAAAGGAGAAAATCATAATTGATGGCTACACTTCTCCCTTCAGTAGCTTGGGAATAGGCTGCAAGCATTACTGTCAGTGTACAAGCATTCGCTCTAATGACTTCAGGATGAGGAGCTTAATTTTATTAGCTGAGTAAAGAGACCACTGGGCGTATGGGTTTTGACCGTGTGTGTACGTGAAGCTCTCACCAGGCAGCGATAAACACCTGCGACACCCACGCCGTCCACCTCATATGCATCACACACACACACTTTGACTTCAAGTTAATATAAACACAAACCCGCCTGTGCTTGTTCTCACTTTCCCTCAAAGACACACACATACACACACACACACACACACACACACTTTCACACACAAAGTTGTTGGCGTAATTACCCAGCATGACTGAGAAGAGATTGGAGGTCAGGAGGGTCAGACAAGTCTCGCCGGTGGTGTTCGAGCCGCAGTGATACAGTAATTTAAATCACCATTCACAGACACCAGAAGTAAACACTTTGATGGTTGTACACAGGATAATTAGCCGTCTAGTACAAGGTAGCAAAGTTAACAAGCACAAATTCCTCTTTTTTACTCACAGCTGGTGCAGTACATATTAACAGTGTCATATCAGCATATATTAGTAATAGTGTACAGCAGTATGAATTGTATGAATTGTTTGGATGGGCTAACTCTTTCCCTCTGTTCCCAGTCTTTATGCTAAGCTAAGCTAACAGGGTGCTGGCTGTAGCCTCGTATTCATCATCCACAGAGTGGTATCGATCTTCTCATTTAATTCTCTGCCAGAAAGTAAATAAAGCAACTTTCCCTTTAAAAATATCCTCTTATATTACAATTTAATAATTTAATTAATTAAAAATAGATTAATGACATCACTATTGATGGGTAAATTAATGGAATTTCAAGTTTTAAAAAAAAGTGGTTTCCTAGTAACTGTTTCAGTACATAGTTGCATCACTGAAATCGTGTTTCGTCAGGCAGTTTGAGCCGAGATGAAGATTAGGAGATCTGGACACACACACACACACTCATGCCACACTGCTGATTTGACACACAAACACACAGCTGGCCAGATAAACCCCATGAATGTGATCAGTGGGCTAGCGTTTGACGTAACAGGGGTGCATTCGAGATTATTTAATGTTTTGCAAATGTAACGCAGCAGTTTAGAAATGCGCTGAGTTGCATAACATCTCGTGTCAAGGGGACTGGGCCACAATGCTGTGACAGGGCTCACTTTGATTTCATTAAAAAAGAGGCAGAAAGTCATTGAGTGAGCGGACAAAGTCATGCCGTCAATTTGTCCATTTCTTGTATGGAATAGTTTTATGTTACTTTTCCATTGTTTACTTGATGATTTAACTCACACAAACTCAGTTCTGTCTATAGATAGAACTGTAGCTGAGAGTCACCTGTGCCTATTCTTGATATTTCCTACTGTCTAATTCCTCATATCTGTTGCTGTGTGGCTCCAGTGACGTGCTGGTGTTTGCTGACCAACCTGTTTTCTGTTCCAGAGTTCCTCCTCCTCCTCCCCCTCTTTCTGCTTAATTGTTGCTGACCTCCTGTTTTCGTTATCTCTGACTGACAGGTGTGAAAAGCGGCCTGGCTAGAGCTATAGCTGCTGTTGTTGTCAAGGAAACTGAGAGCCCTGTCCCGTTACCATGGGGAAACAGAACAGCAAGCTGCGGCCTGAGATGCTGCAGGACCTACGAGAGAATACCGAGTTCTCCGACCATGAGCTGCAGGAGTGGTACAAGGTACGTAAACACACACTCTTTGGGTGGCACCAAAATGTAGAAATGGTTCTACTACTGCTGCTACAAAATAAAATAAAAAACTAGTTAATTATTTCTATTTGATGCTACACTAGTCATGGGCCGTAAAAACAAAACAATGAGCTAAAACAGGCTAACAAGCTCCTTGGAGCTGAGGGCACACAGTTGGGTGATAGTTGGGTTTGTCACTAGGACATGGACATTTAATCCATTGTTTGTATAAAAATATTGATTATTGACACTTTCTGAAATTTCAACACCTCTATTACATCAGACCTCTGAAAACACAATTAGTTATTAATGTCTGACTCAGCTCTGGTTTGAATACTTCTGTCATTGTGTCAGTGTGTATCAATCAGTTCTATTAGGTAACGGTGATCGTTCACAGGCCAAGAAACTAAAGTTACTGAGATTTTTAGTGGATAATGTCTGTGTTTAAAGTCAAATGTGTACTACTGTTGTTACAGATTTACACCTGTCAGAATTAATTTAACACTTCAGTCATGGGTGAGCTACAAAAATCTTTTGTCAACACTTTTGTCAACACAGATCAACACTTAGTAACAACTGAAAACTCCGTCATAGCATAATGCAAGTACATAACAACATTGTAAGCTGTGATAAATCATGTACAACTGTTCGAGAAATAAGCATAGCACAGTGACCCTAGATAAAAATAAATCTGTCAGAGCCGTCCTTCCTCAGTAAAGTCACGTTTTATCAGTAATTAGTGATAGCGACAGCTGCCTTCAATATGACATTTGTCTCCGTTCAAGGCAGAGCACCACCCAGTCTGTTAATCCACTGCGGGGGACCGGATTAGATCTTGGCGTGATGAAGTGCCACAGTGGACTAACCGAATGAATTATCTCATCTTGTTTTCGTGGGTGTGTGTTTGTGTAATAGCTATATGGCTTTATGCATGGATTAGACCTACGGAACAGCTGTGCGAGCTGTCCTGAATAAGAGCTGTACATGTTTATACCATCACCTGCCTGAACTGTGACTTAAGCCCCCTTGACCCTGGGTCCCCTCACACTGACAGTGGTCACGATGGTGTTTGTTCTCAGTGGATTAACAGCTCCTGGATCCTGGAGATGTATGGTATGCTCCACATGGATGTTAAGGTGCCCGAGGTCTTTGAGAATAAATCCAGCTTGTCTTTTTTTGGGATTTATTGGCAATAAGTCTGAGCTTCGAGTCAGAAAGCCGCACTAAAAGTAGTGAAATGTCAAAAACACTGAGAATTAATTTTCTATTAGAGCCATGTTGCCTCTCCACTTTCACCCATGAGAATATTTAAAATGATGATCAAAAAGTAATTCCAGTCTTCAAATCAGGACAATGACTTTGTCACCTCGCTGCCTCTATCTTAACGGTCTTTGTAAAAAAAAAAAAAAAGTGGTACATTTCTGCCGAACAAAGACCATGACTGACATGACTTTTACCTCCCTTTTCTTCTCAGGCACAATGCTGCTTTATCAAATGTGTCTCCTTCAAAAGAAGATAGAACTGCTTTCAACTATCCAAGACTAAGCTCCTTTTGAAAAAGCACTGCTTCCGTCTGTTCAGAATGGAGCATTACATGAATGAAACATTTACTGGTCAAAGTTTTGTTACAGAAATTTGAGTCCTGATTGAAAATGCTTTATCTGTCAGTTATAATAGGAGTGTCTGCTGATGTAAAAATTGTCTTGTATTGTCCCGGAGACTGAAAGAGAGCATTAAAGGAATTACTGTCACCCTTGTCTTGCCTCATATCATCTCTTCTCTTTTCCTCAGGGTTTCTTGAAGGATTGCCCCAGTGGAACCCTGAATGTGGAAGAGTTCAAGAAGATTTACGCCAATTTCTTTCCCTATGGTGATGCCTCCAAGTTCGCCGAGCACGTCTTCCGAACCTTTGACACCAACGGTGACGGGACGATAGACTTCCGGGAGTTCATCATCGCTTTGAGCGTGACGTCACGGGGCAAGCTGGAGCAGAAGCTGAAATGGGCCTTCAGCATGTACGACCTGGATGGAAATGGGTACATCAGCCGCGAGGAGATGCTGGAGATTGTACAGGTGAGCAAGGGACACTGGGTTATGTTGTGTGGTTGGGGGCAAAGGATGAGTCATTTGGACTATAAACAGGATGTAGGGTATTTTTAAATATTTTTTAAAAGACTGTGCTTCTGTTCGGCTCAGAGACAATGTGTGGACCGAACTTTCTGACAGTCCACCCAAGAGTATGTAACAGAAAAAATTCACTCAAAACCATAAATATTAGATTCATAGTGGGGCTAGAGGAAAAATCATTGGATCCACAAAGTCATCAGGATGCCTCCTCTTGGGACAATAAATGTCTGAACAAAATGTCATAGAAATTCATTCAATAGTTGTTGAGATATTTTAGTTTGAACCAACTGACTGTCCACACTGCTGTCGTGGTTAAAAATGGTCAAAATGGAAGAAAGAAGAGGATGAAATGTCTGTAGTATGTGTCAAGCATAAAAAAAAACTAGATCCCAAATTTCCCATAATTCAACCAGTTACATGTTTGTGCAAAGTTTGGAATATAGACTTCCCGTTACAGATATTTAGTTTCCATTCATAGCTGTGATAACCTCTTTGACATCATCTGGGTTATTTTCTTTGGGGACATTGGGGGCCTCCTTCAGAGCCACAGAGGGATGTTTCCATATGCTGAGTCATACTCAGAACTTAAGTTGACCTTTATGTGTTGAGTTCATCTTTAAAGACAGATTTGATTTCCTGAAAGATAAAAGGCACAAACCACAAACAAGAGGATCCCAAATATTAGTCGCATAGGGGTTTTGAGCACAACTGGAAATACCAAAATAATGGTATGAGTCTCTTAGTCACCAAACCTAAGTTTTCATAAGAAGATTTGTTGCAGTTTAAAGTACAGAGCAGGCCTCACCAGGAGATTAAATGTTTAATGTTAATATGTTTTTTTTTAACTTCAGCATTTACATTATACATTCAAAATACCCAGAAGCCCACTAATGTACATTTTATTTGAACTAGCCACTCATATATCTTCTGCATGGACAGAAATAGACAGTTCTTACTTCAATTATGCAAGTTAATACATTCGTTCCAGTATGTATGGGGAGGCTCGAGTACCAACATGCAAAGACACTAATCGGCATATTTAATGTGCTGATTGCAATATTGGCACAGGCAACAGTTTCTATGAAGACTGTTAAGCACACTGTTACATTTGTGCAGCATGTAATCCTTTCATTGTTGAAGAGAAGAAGTCGAGAGACTCATATACTGAGATATTGGACTGAGGATCTCGCTGTGTGCTCTCTCTGGGCTTGTTTTTATATCCTGGTGGGGGACTGTAGCCTGAATACACGCCAATCCTATGGGGACATGTGTCACTGTGGGGACAAAAACTGAAGTCCCCCCGGGTAGAGACTGCTTGAGGGTTAAGACGAGGGTTAAGGTGAGGGATGGGCATTCAGTTGTGATGGTTGAGGTTTGGGTAAGGTTTAGTGGAATGCATGATGTCGATGGGTGGACCCCATGGGGATAGTGAAACAAGTTTGTCTGTGTGTGTGTGTGTGTGTGTGTGTGTGTGTGTGCGCGCGCGCACTTCTGGGTTCTCATGGATTAGTGAGTTAAATTTAACCAGAGTTTATCCCTGAGTGTGCAGAATACTGGGATTATCCTCAAGCTCATTGAGGTTACGCACCGCTGGATGAGAGAGGAGGGGCCCATTGTGTCATTGTACACTGAGAGAGACAGAGAGATTGTCGTAATAGGGGAAGTCAAATTTGTTCTAGACCACATTATCGGACAGGTGAACATATCCTAACCCCTTCATGCCCTAATCAGAGGACGTCCAACAACATGTCAATTCTTATCTTATTTGTAGATCTTTAAAAAGGTTTTTGACTTAAAATCTAGCAGATCGACTTGTTCCTTTTGTTTCAAAATGGTGATGGGAGGAAATGAAGTTAAAATAAAATCGTTCTGCTAAATGAAAAGAGAATTTTTGCCCCAAAAAACAGATACACACATATAAATGAATCAGAAAATCACGGGAGCAATCAAATTAGATGAGAAGATGGATACCACTCTCATGTATTTGTGCTAGGTTGAACCAGGAGGCTATTAACTTTAGCTTAGCATCAGCTAGCTTGTTGCCTCTTTACAAATTTAGGGAATAAATAAATAATTTAGGGAGAGGTTTTAGAAGAGGGCATAGCTTAGGCATAGCTTCACTTATTCAACTTACAAGACAAAACAGAGCTTTCACTGTGCAAATTAACAGCTGTGCAAATTAAGAGATGCGCTGAGATGTGAACTCAGTTATTTGTTTATATTTTATTTGTCACATTAGTTATCAATAAAGTGCTTTAAAAAGTGACCCCATCTAAAGAAAGACTGTAAAACCACTGTGTGTCACTTCGTTTGTGTCATATAAGTGAGACCTGTTTTCAAAGTCAATATATAACCTGCTATACACCTTTCTCCGGAGGAAGACAAGAACTCTCATTTTATAGTCCAAGGGATAAATTTTAAACCTCTCTGTCTTACTGAAAAGCTCGGAGGGCTTATTTCACGCAGGCTACCTTCCCCTCTGAGGGTGCTGCTGTGACACTGATCTACAGTCAGTAAGCTGACTGCAGATCTGTGCCTGAGGCCAGCTGATACTTGCAGCTTCTCCGTGCTCACTTGCTAGGTTAATTTAATGCTATCAGGGGACGGGAGGCGCTGGTATCAGTCAACAGATAAAGATGTATCAGATCAATACGGTAAACTCTGCTTGTAAGCCCCCACCCCCACCCCCCACCCTGTTGGCACATGCAATCTCTGTCACTCTGATGGTGTGGTTCTCCAGGCATACAGACCCTGCGAGGGTATTTGTGGAAAAGCTGCTCTTTGCATCGAGGGGTAATAAATGGAAGTGAATCATGTGGACTTTAGAAAGTGTGTACATCAGCATCTTGAAAGCTGCAGTGACATTATTTTTCAGTTCAGTTTTGTTTTAGTTCTCTCCTACTGAGTCTCCTTAATGGATCCCTGCTGGCTTGAATTCACTTATCTTTCTTTTCTCTCGCTCCCACCCCACCACCCCTTTCTCTCTCCCTCTCCCTCTCGCTCTCCCTCCCTCTCCCTCTCTCTCTCTCGTGCTTGCTCCACCGCTCTGTCTCTCAGGCCATCTACAAGATGGTGTCATCTGTGATGAAGATGCCAGAGGATGAATCCACGCCGGAGAAGAGGACAGATAAGATCTTCAGACAAATGGACCTCAATAATGATGGTGAGTGGAGGAAATAGCAACTAGGAGGAATAAATATGCTGAGAGGAGAGGACAGGAGTGACGAGCATCAGATGAATGTGACATTTTATTGAAGATAATTTTTGAACTGTGCTTATTTTTGTGGAAAACAAGAGATCTTTGAGAGAATGTAGGGCTGCATAATTCAGTATTTTTTATTTTATGTCAGGCCAAACATTTGGGATTACAAGACACTCAAGCATAGAAAATATAACATGCATCTTCTGGCAACACATACAAAAACTATACTTTCAAATAGCATAGTTAGAGCTTGTCTTTCTCATCTTCCAGGCTTTCTCCAAGTAACTGGCTAATTTAAATATTTCATATGTGAACATCCAACTTAGTCTTTGTGCATCATCCATTTTTACAAAATTAATGATGATGAATATTGACCTTTCCATTATTTAACACTTACCGCTATGCCAACGTCCCTGTGAGGTTGTACCTTAGCACAGCAGTGCTTTGAGCTAAATGCTAAAGTCAGAATGGCAACATGTTCACGATAATAATGCCAACATGCTGATGTTAGCAGGTAGACTGTTCATCATGTCAGCAAGCTAACATTTCCTGATTAGCAATAAACATAAAGTACAGCTGAGGCTGATGGGAATATCAGCAGTTTTGCACATATTTGGTTTAATAGATAAATCTTGGACAAATTAAAAATTTGAAGTGATGATGGCACTAGATGAAAAAGTTATCAAGGAAGTCAGAGAATCACTCCAGGACCATGAATATCTGAACCAAATGTTGTGGCAATCCACCCAATACGGTTTAAAGACTTCTCTCAAGATCAAAACAGCTAACATTGTGATGGTGCTAGATGAGAAGTTGGGATCTCTAAAGTCAGTAGGATTCATCCTCTGAGGAATCACAAATGTCCTTAAAAAACTCCATGACTTTCCATCCAGTAGTTGTTGAGTTATTTCAGTCTGGACCAAAGAGCTGCTGGTAGCATGGCTAAAAACACCTAATCAAACCCACAGTTGTAAAACAAAGTGCACATGTCTTTGACTAAGATCCAGTAAGTTATTTATCCCAAATAAGTAATTTTCTGGTCAGCCTGTTTCTTCCATCTCAAGTGGTTGATTCCATAACTGAACTATCAACTATAAATATCTTCCAGTGAACCTCACATGGCTCCCATCCCATATCTCCCACCACAGCCATGTTTGGTGCATATTTGTGCACACCCAGAAATTTAAAATAGCGCTATGCGGTTCTGATTCACACATGAAAAAGATTTTGAAGCCCTTGAACTCTAGCTAAAAGACCAAACACAAAAACGCACAAGCTTTGAATCATGCTTGAGAACACATTTCCATTTAACAAAGAAAAATAAATCAAAATAATGTCTATTTATCTAATTTTCTCTCTCTCTCTGTCTGTCTTGCAGGCAAATTATCCCTGGAGGAGTTTATCAAAGGTGCCAAAAGCGACCCTTCCATCGTCCGGCTACTCCAGTGCGACCCCAGCTCGGCCTCCCAGTTCTGAACTACTGCCCCGCTATGACCCCTTCTTCCTCACCCTCTCTGTTGCTATTGAACCAGTCACTCAAATCAATGCATGATGGTTCTCGTCTCTCATATCATCTTAAAATTTTTGTTGTTGTGTGCAAAGATGGAGGAGGAATTTTAAAGACGATAAGAAAAGTCATCACTATTATTTTACTTTCATTTTTATATTTGGGGGAAATATATGAAGGGACATGTATACATTTAATGATCAGTCGAGAGAGGCGTCCGCTAATGTTCCCGAATATCTCTCTCTCTCTGGAACGTCAGATTTCCAGGGGGCTTGTGACAAAGTTTTTTTTTTTTTTTTTTGCAGGGTGAGGATTACTCAGTTTCTCCTCCAACACACATGTATATCATGTATATACTGTATGTCTATGTATATCATAAGATGAAGTACATTCGTCTTCATGTATGGTGCACACTCTCTGGCATTGAAAGGCAGTATTATGTAGCGTAGCTTCCTGGTCTGATCTGAATGGGTGGTCAGGGGGTTGGAGGTGGGTGGGTGGGGATTATTGGGATGTTTCGCTGAGAAAAAGAAGGCCTAAGATCCCATTAGGTTTTTATTGATGTCTACTTGCATTTTGTTGATTTATAAATTTTAAATGTGATTTTTTTTCATTTGTACATATTGTTTTCCTCCTTCATGTTGTTTTATTTATTCATTTTTATTGTTATTATCTTTTACTTTGATATGTTGTTTAAGATGAACACTCTAGTTTACAGTGACAGAGAGAGAGAGAGAGAAAATGTGAGTTCCTCTCTGGGATTTGTGGTTTTTGTCAAAGTGGAAGAAGAATATGAAATTGTAGTGAAATAAGGAGTTCCCATAATGCATCTGATCAACGACACCAGTAGCACATATCGTTTGAGCCGCCATGTGTTTATAAAGTATGGCTGTGCATTTGGTCTGAATGTGTGTGTGCATGTGAATATGCACCGTATGCTCGAGGCTAACTTTTACAGTATTACCATGTTGTGTTGTTTCTTAATTTGTAAGTATTTTAAAGTTCTTTATCAACGAGCAGTAAACTTAAGATAGTCGTGACCTGTGACTATACTGCATGATCCTGCGAACCCAACGACGACAACACAGAAACAGTTAACGCACAGCGGTATCTTTTTGTAGCTCTGCAGCCTCCTCAGCACCGTACCAGGCAGAAATGACTGAATATTTGTCTTGCTTTGGGACAAACCCTGACCCCACTCTCTTTTCCTCATGACAGACATGAAAACTCACTAAGGGCTCGTTCATCTCTCTCTAGCTGAATGCTTTTATAACCTCCTGGATTAGTCTGCTTACAGAGCAGTTAGATGAAGGGACACGTGTCACGAGACAGGAGCAGGTTACTTGTTCTGATTTGGATTTTTAGGGTTTCTTCAGACTATAGCCAGTGGCCATGTTTATATTAGCAGTTATAGAAATCTTTAACATCTGGGATACCTGTTCTAAGAGATTTAATGAATATTTGTAGCGCAGAGAAAGTGAAACACTTCCAGGCATGGCATCAAGTTAATGTCTCAGTGTCTCTTTAAACTACTTTAAACTGTATGATATTAGAGTTTTAAAACACAGCTTTGACTGAGTGAAACCATGTTTCACAATAAAAAAACACCATCTGAAACACTGTGCAAATGTAAACAGAGCCACTGGTTGCAGCAGTGCCAGCACCACTCTCATATATCACCTATTTAAGGCTCCCATTGTCAGATCACTGTTGCCATCTTCTGTTTCAGAGATTAAACACACACTACAAAGTCAGTCTGTGACGTAGGTTACCATGGAGTTGACTGAAGGAAAATTCAAAGTTGAAGTAAAACTGCATATTTGAAGTAAGCCCTGCTTCAAAAATATTTTCTTAGGAGTTGACCTGTTGCCCTGACGACATCACTGAAGACACAGATTACTATTTTCATTTCAGTCAAAATGTTTCTTGATATGATGCACAAGAGACTTGAGGCTGTTGGTTGAAGACGACCCCTAAAGTACTAGTGGATACATTATCATAAAACATATGGTATTTCTTTATTGTTATAGACTGAAGTACATTTTCTCAAGTACTGGGACTTATATTAGTACAACACCTGAGTACATTACTTGAGTATTTTCATTTTATGTTACTGTATACTTCTATTCCATTACAGTTCAGAGGCAAATATTGTAAGTTTTACTTTACTGCATTTATTTAACAGCTTGTTACTTTTTCAGATTAAGATTTTACATATGAAATGATTAGTTTATATAATGTGTTGTTATAGATTTAAGTGTTCAAAATTAATAAAACTAGTTAAATTAGCTCCATCTTGATTAACTATAACTTTAAAGTAATCATTACAATAATAATATGACTTATAATAATAGTATAACACTAACTAAGGCCATTCTGCATGAGTACTTTCACTGTTGATACTTAGTAGATTTATTGTATATTTCTGTACTTTTTACTTGAGTAAACAGTTTGAATGCAGGATTATAATGTGGTCTTTTTATAATGTGATATTGCTTCGTTTACCCAGTAGTCTGAAAACTTCTTCCACCACTGGTATTTAGCAAAGCTGATATTCAAAATCTCTAAATTGGACCATGACCCTTCCTGGCGAAGGATTCAGTTTTTATTCCACAATTTTATTCTTATGATTTTAGGAAAAATCCTTTTTTAAATGGGACAATGAAACGCTTAATTAAAACCCAGACTAATTCAGTTATTTCAGGTGGGTTAGCAGCTCTGTAAAGCAGGTGATTCACACAGGCTGCAGTTTACACACAGTGGGAAAGGTGAGGAATAAAACCCAAACACTTCATCACATTCGGAGGATTTCTCTGTCTTTTGTGCGAGATAGAAATAAGTGTTTGTTCTGTGGTCAGAGAGGAAACTCCATCAAAACATCTGACGAACATCTAAAGATGATATCAGCCTGAAATATGATTCTAATTGTGATTTTTATTTATATTGTGTTGCCCGACATTTGACTACCTCACAAACTGAATGGTGTGCAATGGTGGCAAAGTGAACTACCAATCAGAGCCTGAGAGCTGTGCTGGTGCAGCTGCTTCCGCATGTCATAAGACTTGATGTGAGGTGAACTTGTACCAAACATTTGCACAGGAGCTTCCTGACCAGCCACACCTCTGCTTCGGAGATCCTGTAGTGTCACTGCCTTCTGCTGGTAGGATAAGGAACAACAGTTGCTACCCCATTATCAATTACAGTTTAACCCTTTTCTATTCTCACTGCCTCTGATAAACTGGTACCTTGTGTTGGATAAATACGCCCCCCCTCCCCTCTTCTTTCTTCCTTCCTTCCTAACCTCTCCTTCCTTCCTTCCTTCCTATTTTTCTGTTGCATGAAAACCTCACGTGAGGATGTCATGTTTGTTCCGTTGGACCTGAAATAGAAATATACCTAAGTGTTTCAAAGCTGCACGTGTGGACTGTTTACTCATTTCTGGTTATTCATGAAAGCAATACATCAAGAGTATTTCATTGTGGACGAGGCGAATGTCTGGTCTGACAGCTGAGCATGACTGCCATGCATCTGCAGTCTGTCAAGGCACATTGTAGGCCCTTATTAACATACACCTGACAGGACGTGGGTGAATGCGTTTGTACCAGCCTGTCATTATGTCTCCTGAGCATAACCAGTAATACCTGTCAGGTCACTATAGCCGCTGCTATTAGCACATATTAAAGTGAAATGTTTTTTGTTGCAGAGTTCAGATACCACCCACAAAATAGCTGCCGAATTGTGATTTAAAAACTTTATTTACTTAGGCAATAAATACAAAATCTTGCATCACTAGTTTCTCATGAAAATAGTTTTTCTTGACCTAACTGCAGAAAAAATACACACACACACACAGTATTCTCAATAACTCAAACATGCAAACCAGAGTTTCATCCTGCCTTAAACATGGGTAAAAGGTTGTATGCATAAACCTGAACATAGTTCAAGTCTTGCTAAGTGAAGCTAACCTCGTCCTAACTCCAGAGAACAAGCGTATGTCCTTGTGTCACGCTATTGTTTTAACTCTGAATGAACTAACTCCCTGGACAAGAAACAGCCTTCACCATGTCCTCACTTTGTCTCATCTCTCAATCCTAATGTGAATAATTTTGCCCTCATAAACACAAAAATACAAGAACACACACACTCACATAACTGGGATTCAACATGCAGTCCAACGATCCTGTCAGCTGCAGAACCTTTCATGCATCATGTTTGATCTCAGGTTCCGTTGCACTGCTAAATAAAACATCCTCATTCTCAGAGTCTGTAGCTTTGAAGTACTGACAGGAAACAGGGTTGTGAATATGATGTTTGAAGCTACAGCTACAGTTCATAACCTCACAGCTCTTGTTCTCTCAAGAAGCTCTGGCCTGTCAAATATGGCTAAATCCAGAAGCTGGACCTTTCCAGCGTCCCCCTCTCCAGCAGTTGGTGTTGCTCCGGTGCCCTTTGCTGGCTGCCAGCCCTTGTCTCCGGCCTCTCTCTGCCTGACCTTTCTCTGTACGGCGGGCGAAGAGGCTGCCTCTCCGAGGGAGGAAGACTCCGGTGCTGACGGGGAGGATGCTGTGGAGGGGGAGGGGGTCGTTGCTGCCGTCTTGGGGGCGCAGTGTTCCGTCTTGGAGATTCGTGATAGCTTCTTGGACGTTCAGTATAGTGAGCTGGAGGTTCATTGGAGGTTCTTGGAGATTCACTATAGCGAGTTGGAGGTTCATTATAGGTTCTTGGAGGTTCACTATAGCGAGAGGGAGCAGCTTTCTCCATCGGCCTCACCACATTGATCTACACAAACACAGAGGAAGTATTTTATGATACATATAATCTGGTTTTAAAATTATTTAAAACAGTCCAATGCAGGTGTATTTGAGTCAAAATCTTACCGCTCTGCCATAGTCTCTGTGTATCTTCCTGTTTGGGCAGCAAAGCAGACCCAGGAATGAAACGCAGACAGCAAAGCACCGGGCGCAAAACACCATCTGGATGACACAAGTCACGATCAGAGGGACCCAAAGGATCAGAGTGGTACTCTGGGGGAGGGATGGAGGAGTGAGGTTAGTGCCAATCACCAGCTGTACCGTACAGAGAACAGTTGCTCAGCAGCTCCACAAAAATAGGGAAACAATGTGGGTAATGATGTGATACAGAACTATATTTTTTTGGAGGGTTTTTGAGGGCTGCGGAGCACAGGGGAGTCAGCATTGTGAATAAAATATGCAGAGAGGAATGTATCAAAGCAAATGTGTGCAGAGGGAATTCCGACAGAAAGAGCTGCCTTTTGTCAGGCATGCTGACTACAAAGAGAATGAAAGTTTATAGTTCAAAGTTTGGAGCTTTCTTTGGGATTCATGGTGAAATATGCAGAAAGTACAAGAAAAATAAATAAACCTTGCGTAACCATCTTTACTGCCTCTAAGCAACTATAAGAAGCCCAACACACATTTTCAGGTGATGTAATATACCCCCTGGCTGCTATATTGGAGATCCCTAGCTAATATACAGCTCTGAGTGAACAGCATGGTCTCCAGTCTCAGTAGACTACAACACAGTTAGTCAGTCTGTGCCGATTATGAGTTGGGACTCCTTTTCTCCAAATCTAAAATGACACTAACAATCATTTGAGGAAAACTGAAAAACTGAACAGTCGAGGTGTAAATTTTACTGTTCATCTTTATTTTCTCTTTTAAATAAGTCTGGCTAACCTGGGGAACCTGATAGTCAGACTACTTATCTTTTTGAAATGTCATTAACTTTCCAGATCTCAGCAATTAACCCTGTGAGTGCAGTTTTAACCTTGGTGACAGGAATGATTGTAAAAACTACAAAACCAATCATCCTTTAATGTTAGCTAGTGAGTTCAGTATTTGAATGGTTTATCGTTGCTGCTACCTGCGCACGAGCTAAAGCTAGCATGACAAGTCAATACAGCAAATAAAAAATTGCTTTGCTAACCTAGCTTGAGGTAAAAGGAAGCACACAACACAGTAATTTGAATTTTTGTTGAATATTAAACATTTAGCTTTTAGAGAATGAATAGACATTCAAACTACATCAGGCTAACGTTAGCCAGTATTTTGTGTACTTGTGTTTACTACTAGCATCTTGTAGCTTATTGTAGTTTTGAATGCTTAGGCTGACAAATGTACAAGTTGTGGATTAAGTGTCACTTATGCCAGTTTTTGGTATTATGATCGTTGCCATAGCTCCTATGTGTAGCTACATGGATGCACACCTTTAATGTTACTTCATCAACAAGTTGCACATATTGTCGAGGGACAGCAGACAAAAGTCCCCCTAATTAGCATGTATTAACACACTCTAACGTAGCCTAGTTGTAAGCCGATACAAAAAGGAGACTTTTTATATGTATTAATGTAGAGTATTTATCAACTTCTCCTATGAAGACAAGAAAGTGTTACCTATTCATCTGTGTGTGTTTGACAGTCTGGCTAGAGAAGCTTCAGCTCCACGTGATCATTGCTTTCTGTGACAGTGAATAACACAATGAACTGTAAACAGGCAACTGAACGGAGGTAAACAAATCAGCTGTTCAGGATTGTAAGTGCATCTAGTGCTGCATTAATGGTTGAAATCCGACACTGAACTATAACTCAAAACCTACGCTCTATGTATCTACAGCGGCACCGCCATTAACCTCTTGTGTCAAGTATAAATCCAGCTTAAGACAAAGGTCACTTAACTGACAAATTGTAGACTACAAGCTGTGCTAAAACGCCAAAGTGGTGCTGATGCGTGGATGCAGCTGTGAGGCTGAGCCGGCCTGACAGTCCATCTGCAGCACACTGGAACAGGACAGAGCCTAAAGTGGACCGACAGGGTCAGGTCAGCATTTCTGCCACCAGGCTGCAGAGTGTGACTGACTGAGTGACAGAACAGACAGACACTCAACCTCCCACTTCTTCTCTCACACACGATGTACAGTTCACACACACACACACACGGGATACAGCCGCCATGACGTGCAGCCACGCCGCTCTGTTGCGATTATGCGGCGGCAACAATGGTCAGCTGTTCAAAGAGCCAGCTGCAGGGGAAAAAGTCGCACTTCATGCTTTGATCTGAGCCTCTGTGGCACACACACTAATGCACTCACATAGATGCGTGTGGGGTCAAAAGGACACTCGTTGGTGATGCTGGAGTAGCCAATGGCATCAGGGAAGCGGCAGTGAGTCAGGAGGCTCCGCCCACCATGAATAATGGCCCTCACCACGGACACCAAGAGTCCAATGGATGAAGCTGCTGCCGTGAGTGATGCTGCCAGACTGACTGAGAAAAGCGACCACGTCTGTGGGAGACACAAATAAAATAATCAGGAAAGAAAAACTTAATGATGGATACGATGAAGCTTTAACGCTCCCAGCTGGGAAACTGGGGAATCTGCAGCAGTAAATAGATAAAAGCACAGCTAAGAATAAACAATACACAAACAGAGAAAGTATAGCAGATTTATGGCATCTGTTACATGAAAGTGTTATATTTGAGGATAAGCAATAATATATGGATGCAAAAATGAAAAAAAAAATGTTGGGAAAACAAGAATATATATGAAAAATCTGAAATATGTTAATAAAGAAAAAGGCAAAAAATGACTTTAAAATGTTGTTTTACCATACTATATAGTAATGTGGCACTCCACTGATTTGATATATGAAAATTGGTTTACTTGTGATAAGCAGTACAACTCAGCCTGTGAAAATAACTGAATAAAGTTTCTCCTGGGAGTTTTCTGAAGTGTGAAAAATAAACCCTGATGATGTCACCACATGTAAAATATGTGCAAATGCTGTCCGTAGAGTCAAACCACATTCTTCAGAAATAAAGCTGCTCTGCAAGTTGAAAGGTCACCTGACAAAGAGCTGTGGGCTGGATGTCATCGTCCAAATAATCTGTCCTTATTGTTAGGTATTGTACATTCTGCATCAATTTCGTTGATTGTCACTTGTCTCCTTGAGTTCCCCCACTTAATGGAAGTGCAATCGTAAATCAGTGGAGCACCCCTTTTAAAAACACAATCAATAATGTATCTTTACAAATATCACACAGAGTCCAAGAGTTTATGCTTGGATTTTTGATGGTAGTTGATGTCCTACACCGTTAAAGAATAAGCCTGGTAATATTTGATATTTTTCTAATTATCAACAAATCCCATAAACTGAAACAATTAGTCAGTTAATCAATTAGTTGATGTACATAACAGTAATTAGCAACTAGTTGGAAAATTGATTAATTGTTTTGGGTATTTTTCAAGCAAAATTAGTGAAAAGGTGTCAAATATTCTCAGGTTTAAGCTTCTTTTGTCGCATATAATTTGCAGTGCCCAGCTATTTTAGGATTTATCTTGGCTTTTTTAAACTATGTTTCTGACCATTCTTTACATCCTCAGTAGGAACCAATGGACTTGAGGCTGCCACAGACAGGATATGGGGTGTCCATAAGTATTGAGACACTGACTCACACACTGTTGGGTTTTGACTTTTTTTATGCCAGCCTTAGTGAGACTCACAGTAAAACACTTCTAAACCTATCAGCTAAGCACGATTACACATGATAACTGCATGTTCTGGGCAGAGAAACCCAACCTTGAAGAAGTTTACAGAAGGTGAGACATGGGTACAAAAGTGTCTACACCTTAAAAATGCTTTGTGAAGATCACTGAGTAATTAAATGGAAACCTGATAAGAACAATAAGAAATAATATAATCTTTCTGGGAGATTAGAAACTGTAGTACCCAGTTGTGATAAACAATCACGTTAACAGGAAAAAAGGGAGTGTTTCGATTACATGTAATTCATGCCAAGTGATGCCTGGATGACTGAATAAAGATAACAAGGTGGATGAGGAGGTAACCTGCTGCTCGTCAGCTCTGCCCTGGCCAGTTCTCAGCTGCTCTCGCCAACAACGGAAAGTGGGAGTGGTTTATCGTGGCTGGTTTGCCCGAGCTTACTCATTCTGTTCAGATCGCTGCCTCGTCAGTCCCGTCTGAGCAGCCTGACAGCTGACTGAATAAACAGACTGTTCCAGCTCTGCAGGGCTTGACTCAGACAACTGAAGCAACATGCAGCTCAAAGGGACTTTTTTATGTGCTCCTGACTGACTACACAGGCACAGAGCAAAGCTGAGAATAAAGTGTGAGAAAGATGGAGAATATCAAAGAGAATGCAAGTGTATGTGCAGTGCCACGAGAAATACTGATCTGACGAAGTAGGGAGGGATCAGTGAAAAGATTAGTGTGTATTTTTTACTGTTTTTAATCACTTTTAAGAACTTTCAGATAAAAAAAAAGTAACAACTTGTAGGAAAAAGCGTAAGTGATACTGACCAGGCCTCTGCTCTTCTTGTTTTTAGACAGGACAATAGCCAGAATACCAACAACAATTCCCTGCAGAGACAAGACAGACAGGTATTGCCAATGACTATATGGGGGAAAACAATGACAGACATCCTGCAAAATGACCAGATAATTAAAAATGCCAAGATTTCACATCATATATTTCTCATCCAGTCTCAAGACAGGCAGTCAAGGTAGCAACACAGGTAAAGTCAAAACATGAAGTCTCTCAACAATACAGCTGTGTTTTCATTACAAGCATTTCAAATATGTGTTTATGTGCCTCTATGCGGGTTTGAAAGATGTTTTGTCAGGTCAGCCAGAATCATCATGGAACATCCCTTCAACTTTATATACAATTATTATCAATTCAGTTTATCAGTTTGAAATCATCAGCTGAATCAGCCACTGATTCAGACGACCATATCTTCAATGTTGGTTTCATCAGACCAGAGAATCTCGCTCCTCACAGTCTCAAAGACCTTTAGGTGTTTTGTTTTTTTTTTCAAGCTCATGTCTTTCACTGACGTGAGGCTTCTGTCCAATTCAGTATACACTTTGTCATTGTGGGATATTGAGTGTAGAGTGATGAGAGAAAAACATTTTTTTTAATGACTTTAAGATAAGGCTGCAAGTGAAGGGTGAAGGGTGAAGGTGTCTGAATGCTTTCTGTGTGCAGCGTGTATCTTTATACACTCACCACCAGGCCGGAGGTGAGAGCCACTACGTTAGAGATGGCGTACTCCATGGCCCGGGCCTGCTTGTGGAGGTTGATGTGTCTGAGCACCACACCGTGCACCAGCGCTCCTAACAGGAAGTTAACATGACCAATGAGGACCATGCTCAGACCCATCTTCATAAGGGCCTTCGGTTCCTCCAGGTTGGAACAACACAGTCCTGAAGAGTGGAGGAAAGAAGAGGAGAAGAAGTGAAGCAAGTCAATGCTCCAGGCAGTGAAATACAACAAAAGAAATCAGTCCAAGGCAAAGAAAGGTGCAGTGATTTCAGATAATATTACATCATCCGTGTTGACTGTGCGGTATTGATCAGAGACACAGAGAAGCCTGGTCAAAACCACCGCAGAGATGTCAACTGCATTAATGATTAGCTGCTGAGCACATAACTACAGTACAGGCTGTGCACACTGGAACTGTCCCAAACAAGTGTATAGAGTTGACTGAAGAATATAAAGAAAAACAAAACTACATTTCTCATGAGTACAATTGGAGTCAAGAGAATAAATACACTAAATCAATAATTGCTGCTTCTAAAACCAGCTGAAATGAAATGGTAGGAAATATCTAAGCAAACATTAGCAGTTTATGTCAAAGTAAGTTTAACTAACCATTTAAAATGATGTCACTTTTTTTTTTTAATAGTGAACACACGAAAAGCAACTCTCAGAGGGGCTTACCCATGACTGTGAAAATATCCTATATTGAACTAAACAAAACACAGAAACCTGGCATAGCAAATACTATCTGAAAAGTAATCAACTGAAGACTAGAAATGTACTAATGTTACAGAATAAATCTAAATGTAGTTATTTTATTTGATTTAATTTGGTTGTTGGTCAAAGGATGTGGGTGCAACATAAGTCTCAAGTACTACTCTCTTCAATCAATGTAAAATATCATGACTGATCATTATTCAACACCATCACTTTGTTCAAATTGTTTTAATTTGTAAGGAAATGGTTTCAGCTAATGAAAGGACCTCGCCAAATTATCACAAACAGATAGAGGCAGTTTCAAAGCTTTCCCTCACGAGATATCAGAGTTCATCATCCTCAGACTGGTGAGCCACACCACTACCACACCTTAACAAACACACGGAAACTTCTCTGAACAAACATCGTCTACAATTTACATACATTTAAATAAACTTCCCAGTCATATTTATTACCTGCACCGGCCATCTCCGTCAGGTCACCATGCGGTTAAATTGAGAGAAAGTATCATGAGTTTACTTTTATCCCCCCTTACCGATCATCCCCTCTTCTCCTCAAAGCAAGACGCTCCAGTCAGAAAGCACGGCAGACAGAACACGACGCTTCTGCTCAAACATTTCAAAATAAAATCTTATCTTATCTTCGAGCGCATCACAGTGTCACAACAATGTTAATTAGGTCAGAATGAAAGAGTTTAATAACGTCACCAACTATTACTGATGTGTTTTTTTTTTTTTTAAATTAAAGTTAGATAAATTGCACGAACTGAGCATAATAGTTCAATTGTTTAAACAATTTAATAAAAAGTACCAAAAGTTATTCTTAAGAAAGAATGTGTAGTAAAACAATACTACAAGTGAGTTTTTAATCTTTCCATTTTTTTCCTAACATACACTCTTGCCGTCAATTCCTCTTTGATAGGTGAGGCAATTTATGCTTTTATTTTGAAACCCAAATTACCCATTGTGCGTTGAATTTCAACAACGATGTAAACAAGCACAGGTGCACCTACGCAAGGCCTCCTTGTTTTTTTTGTGGATAGAAAACAAAGTATGGAAATGCCTTGTTAGTATTTGCTACACGTCAGTCAACAGGCTTTTTTTTTTTTTTAGCATTAAAAGGTTGTTCTTGCTAAATGTGGCGCGTTAAGGACATCAATTATGCTAGTTCCGGTGTCAACACCTGAATCAAAGCCTGGAAAAATGACAGATTAACTATGCACTATGCAGACAAATGGAATTTCCGAGGTATTATTAAAATCCTAATATCACTAATCACTGTAAAGTGATTAATGAGTACCACAGAAGCTATAGTTCATGAGCATTGTAGGAATTCATTGTTGACTTTTTAGTCAGACATATGATACACAATCGTCAGATCTGTGAGTGGGATCATTGCCATGTTTTCTGAGGGCTTCACAGCCTTCACATGATAATGTAGTGTGCCTGTGGTGCCACCAGGTGGAGAAAAGGCGCCATTAAAGGAGAAGAAAGCAGATAGTTCCCATGAACGTGCATTTTCTGTGATTTAATCCAAGTGGAAAAGAAAACTTTATTCTCAGAGCTTTGACAATCTTTTACAGGGACAAATATGTATACAACAAATATGTCACTTTTGGTAGTTATGCTGACAATGGTCACAAATGTATAAACGCCACCTTTTAATTTAATGATCAATTAGTCCATTATGTACCATTCTCTGCTGGTACAGAAATATTTATTACACATGGAAAATAATTCTAACATTATAAGGCAGAGAATATTTGTGTCAAAGAGGTATATTTACATAGAAAATTAAAATACTCTTAAGGGATAGTTTCACTTTTTCCACATCTGTCTTAAAACACACACATGTCCATTTGTAAATTGAAAGTGTTACTAGTTGCTAGAATTATTCCTCCTGTCCATCACAGCCATGTAGAGAACATTTCCTATAATGTAAAGACCATGTGGGACAAAATCCCCAGTCCCTGTTCTGTGGAAAAATGCATCCTGTAGTTCAGCAGTCTGAGTTTGACAAATCAAGTCGATATCACCCATATCTTACATTTCACATTAGTATGGGCAGGAGGAACAATTGCAACCAACAATTTTTTCAATTTACATAAAGTCAGGTGACTATTGCATTAAGCCAGACTTGAAAAAAGGTGAACTTATCCTATAATAGAGTAAAAAAAGATAACCCTTTAGTTAATCAAATAGAAGTATAAAAAGACATCTTGATTGTCTACACTGGATCTCCAACTAGGATGGAAGAGAGGACTTGCAGCCATCATAGTCCAGGCCAGGGTGGATCTTTCTAGACGAAGTGCGGATGCTGCCTCGATGTCTGAGATTCACCATCCGGGTTGCAATCAGATAAAAAATCTCACAGATGTTGAGCACCACGCACAAGACAGACGCCCCCACCATGAAGTAGGTGAAAATGGTCTTCTCAGTGGGCCGGGCAATGTAGCAGTCCACCAAATTGGGACAGGGACTGACATCACACTGGACCTTCCTGGGCAGCCTAAAGCTGTCGTAGACGTAGTGGAGCAAGTAGAGAAACGTGATTTCAAAGGTGGTTTTGATAAACAGGCTCATCAAATATGTCCACCAGAGACCGCCGTGCTTTTGGCCCGGGTTGTCGTACAGCCGAGTATTCTCTCCGTGCTTGGCCCGGTACTTGCGTTCCCGCTCTTCTCTGTAGGCCACGTGTAAAACCACCATGAATGAAGGGCAGGTGACGAAGATGAGCTGGAGGGCCCACAGGCGAATGTGGGAGATGGGGAAGAAGTAATCATAGCAGATGTTGGTGCAACCCGGTTGGCGGGTGTTGCAGTCGAAGTTTCCCTGGTCGTCGCTCCAGACGCGCTCAGCAGCCACCACGAAGACCAACACCCGGAAGACGAAGACCACTGATAGCCAGATGCGTCCGAAGGCAGTGGAGTACTTGTTGACTCCACTAAGAAGACCCTGGAGAAACTTCCAATCCATGAGTTCAGCTTTGATTCGGTTTTTGACCTGTGGCTCTTTAGAGGTCTGTCTTTAAATGTTGCAGGATGGGAACTTTATAAACTGCAAGATACAAAGGCAAAGTTAGTGAAATAGTATAAAAAAATCACATAAAATCAGCTTTGAGTTAGCAAAAATATTCTGTTGTCTGTTCCAGATATTTTTTGATAGGTGTTCTCTTTTCCGATCAAACATTTCACTGATACTCTGAAACCTCAAAAATCTGGGCCAGTCCTCACCAGTTATAAATGTTGTCACTTACTTACAAAGTTTGGTACTTTGAAGAGAGATGCCTTCAATAATTAATAAAATACTTGCTTGTTCGGCACATAAAACCTTTCACAGTGCACAGGGTTGGTTACAGCCTCATACACCTTTAGGAAAGTGAAGGCTGAAGTTTGAACATAGAGTTCTTTTTTTCTTACGTCTCACACTGCCAGTCACTACAGTAATCAACACTTGAGTTCTTCTCTTAAATTTAATCTTCTTTGCTTTACAGAAAGTCTTAAAATTAAATACGATTTTAAATACGATTAACCAAAATTATTCATTCACCAAACATTACGAAACAAGTTTTCTTAGCTTACGTTAAGAAGTCTGGTTTACCACTCAGTTGATCATGTCCCGCAGCTCGCTTTGGGTGACTTCTCTCCTACAGTGGGTCTCTAATATTGACTGAGTAGAAGAATCAACTCTTGGCCATAACCTGGAGGTGTGGTCACATTTGGCATCCACCCTGAGTTCCCTTTAAAACTCCAGCTACCTATGACATATTTTTTTTAAGCCTCTTGTCTGCATCAATTTATCTCAGAAGTGACACTATGCTAAGAGCTCCAGGAACAATGAATGTACTATGGCAGTTGTAGAATTAGACATCACCAAATAAGGAACTCTGTAACAAATTGTGACTGTGCAAATTAATAAAGGTGATATAATACATAATGAGTGGGCCTTAGCAGACCTTGTTTAGGTGTGTTTGTCTACTCTGATCACCACGTTTCTTTACAGGTGACTTCATATCAGTTCCACTAAGTAGCTGCAATGTGGAGATATGCCCCTTTGTAGCCTTTGATTAATCAGGATTAAACAGGGCCACCACCTAACATTTGTTTGAGCAAGCACTCTGGGACCTTTAAACTACAACTCAGATATGGAGAACCAATGTCGCAAAATCAGATATAAGCCTTTTGCTTGTTCATTTTCTCAGGTAAGAATATGATGCAGTCACTTCCTTATTAACACACTCAGTTTTATGATACTGTCCTTAAATAAATGTATTCTCGGTCTGTTGCTCTGCCCTGGAAGTAATGCAGGATGTGTTTAATTGTCATTAATATGTTCTGAAACTCACTGTGGGAGTGGTGATTTTATCAACTTTTGTCAATAACGCTACTCCCATCACTAACCACATGTTGATAATTTTGTACCCAAGTAATTTTTGTACAGCACGTGGTTTTTCTGATAACTTTTAAACATATTTTACTCAGCACTCTTAATCTCTGTTGGTTCAATTAACTCCATACTTCTACATCCATTTTTATCTGCCTTGCAGAGAAATTACAGATGTCTTTGCCAAAAACACACCGAACAAAGCTTCGTTCAAAAAATTACCTGGAGGATACACATCATCAGTTTAATACCAAAGATTTCTGAAACTTTTCATACATGGTTAAATAAAGGCAACAGCAATTTTACGGAATGGTGGTTTATTGTAGATAATATAAATGGCATCTGTTTTTATTTCTGGGGTAAGTTAATGACATTGCGTATGCTCTTTCATTGATATTTTCCTCACTTCCAATTTATGTTAATGTACACAACAACAAGTCCAGCCAATTTAATATTTTGTGGCCATGATATTCTAGGAACAGATAACGAAATAATAACATATAATCATGTAAACAGACAAAATAAATCACCTCTATTATATATCAGTCATTTCAAATTACAAACTTATACAAAAGTATTACATATTTGTTCAGCTCAACAATATTAAGGGACAAAAACATTACATATCTTTGATGTAAAATTGTTTTAAAAATTTTGTAAACAACAATTCTTTACAACGGCCAACAGTATAAAATCCACCTAAGATTTTTACTTTGTTCTTTTTAGTCAAACTCATGATGTCGATGTCTCTCAGGACACTGCTATGCTGTACGCTGGGGCTGAACTCTCTTTGGCCGGAGTGGCTTCTCCGTTGCCACTGTCGACCATCTTTGCCTTCTCCAGGACAGGATCTTTGTACGCAGAGTTTTCCTTCCCAGTCAGAGGAGTCCTGGTCATCATGAAGGAGTTCTCTCTCACGGAGCGAGGTCCTCTGCAGCACTCCCAGAACCTCTTCCCACATAGGTAGAAGATCTCGCAGAGAGTGAGGAAGATGCACACAAAGCTGGTGACCACCATGAAGACGGTGAATATTTTCTTCTCTGTGGGCCTGGGGAAAACATATAGTCAAATATGAGAGACACAGCATTAAGAATTATTGATCATTTTTAAGAAAGAAACTTTTTTAGTGGAGGTCAGAGGCCAAGTTAAGCCACTGTGATTCCAGGATCTAAGGAGCGCTTACCTGGCAATGTAGCAGTCCACGACATTTGGACATGGGTGTTCATTGCATTTGACCAATGGAGGGAAGAAGGTGGCCTCGTAGATGTAGAACAGCAGGAAGACAAACACGCCATCCACTGTTATCTTGAACAGCAGGCTGAAGAAGTAGGTCCACCAGAGACCCCCTCGTTTCTTGCCTGTGTTATCGTACAGAGGGGCACAGTCTTCTCCGTGCTTCAGCCGGTGTTTGCGCTCCCGGTCTTCTCTGTAGGCCACATGGAGAGTCACAAGAAAGGACGGGCATGTGACAAAGATCAGCTGGAGAGCCCAGAGTCGGGTGTAGGAGATGGGGAAGTAGTGGTCGTAGCAGACATTGTGGCAACCGGGCTGGCGGGTGTTGCAGTCAAAGTCCTTCTGCTCATCGCCCCACACCTTCTCGCACGCCACCAGGAAAACCAAAAGCCTAAAGATGAAAACGATAGCAAGCCAAATACGACCGAACGCGGTTGAGTACTTGTTCACCCCGCTAAGGAGGCCCTCGAGGAAGGCCCAGTTCATGGTGTTGTCTTAGATATTAGGCTGGACCCGCACAAAGAAAGAAAACCTTAAAAAACACCCCAGAATTTGGCACACACTCTGCTGAGTGCTCAAATACAGATGGCTTGGACTCACTCTGAACTGAGCATATAAGGCACAAAGGCTCTTTAATATAGTACTTATTACTGCTGCCTTCTTGGCACAGGTTGAAGGGGAGGGAGGAATCCTGAGCAAAGCAAACATAGACTCATTCTTCAGCTACAGTCACTAGTGGAACTGGCGATAGCAAACACCTTGACTAACAGGCAGGAGAGGTATAAGCCTCTTTTAAACAGAGATCCCTCTAAATTGCCATTAAGGAGGCCCCCTCATTATGCCACCTTTGCTTGTTTACACTGAATCAAACAAAGCATAATGCCGTCCCAGTGTGTGATTTCAGATAGCACGCCGGTACCGAAATCAGAGTCGTGACGTGCAACACAACAGCATCTGTCCTCTTATGGGCCCTCCCTTTTACACAGATGATGATCTGGCTCTGTGACTACCTCCGCTGCCGGAACACCCCCCCCCCCCCCCCCCCCCTTATTCCAGGCTTGTACCTTTTGTACAGAACAACATTCCTGCCTTGAGCAGGCAGTATAAAAGGGGTTAGATTGCTAGACATTATTTCACACATGACCCCTGCTGCTGCTCAGTGTACTACAAGTTAAATGTAAGATATTCAAATAAATAGTTTCACATTTTGGTAAATACCCTCATGTGCTCTCTTACTGGGAATAAGATGGGAGGAATGTGTGTGAATATGTGTACTACAAAGACGCTGGATGCTCATCCCATTATAGACTTCCAAGATTACAGAGAGCCACACCAAAATCAATTGATTTTAACATTAAGGACCAGTCGTCTTGGTTATCAGCTATGACATTATCCAGCTTCATGACAGAATGTAGCTGGAGGGATTTAAGGTGTACACAAACAGTTGTATTATCATAATAATAATAATTATTGTTGTTATTACAAAATTATTATTGATATTTAGTCATTATAATAATTGATGTTGTTTACTTCCTATTCTTGTAACTTCTTCAGTAAATGCTTGCAAATGAGACAGGCACCTTACATCTGCAAACAGACCATAGACTCTACTGTATATAAAGAGACAGAGCCACTTATGTGTTGGGTGGTGCTGCGTCAAGGTAGATATATTTAGTGACATGTTTTCCTTTATCAGGCAAAATAAAAGGATAAACTATTTAACTGCTGAAAATAGAGTACAAATAAAAGCTGTTTACAGTAGATATGTGTATGAGCGTTGTTGTTATTTTAATTTCCAAATACTTTCGTTAAAATGCAACCTATACTCTCATTTCGGCGCACTGGGTGTTTAAATAGAGCTATGGTATATTTTATAGTAGGTACAGTATAACCGGAAATCATTATTATAATTTTTGCTTGCTTGACTGGTGTCGGGTGAGGGGTCATAAATTGAGACAGACTCCCCACACTTGCATACACTATTTCCCCACTGCACAGCTGAAAGACAATATGACCCTGCACCGTTCACCCTCTGGTCGCTAGTTAACAGTCAGCTCCGGACCGAGGAGTTACTTTCTGTAGTGGAGTCGGGTGGACCGACACTTCCTCTACAGTTTTCACCATCTTCCCTCTCCGTCCAGCCGGCTGCAGCTATCTCTCCACAGCAACGGGAGGTAAGAGAGGGTGCTCCGCGGTGGGACAATCCGGTGCTAGCTATCAGCTAACTTTGCTAGCTAGCGAGCTAACTCGTTAGCAACTGGCTGAGTTCCAGCCCCTCGACCTAACACAAAAAATGTTTGCTTGCATCCATGTTTAACCGTAAAGGTTTCGTAGACAGCAGTTCGTCTTAAATACTGTTATACTGTTAATGAAACCTCCAAGGTTTAAGTTTTAGGTAAGTTGATAACCGACACTAGACAGACTGTAGTGTCAAGTTGGCCAGGCTCAATTGTTGTTTCCTATAACCTTCAAAATAAAAGCGTACTTCGCCTACACGGATCATTCTCCCACTAAGAGTAAGCTACAGAAGTGAAACTAATGGAATCAGCAGAATCCTTAGATAAAATTGCTGTGAAACTGTGGTGAAATTTGTCTCTGGATGTTTTTAGATTTGCCAGAGGGTTGCATCAGAGTTGAAACAAGCGAATTTATTGTTAAGTTTATCATTCATCTAAGCATATGCAATTTATTCTCTGGAACCAGCTGTTAAAATATGAAGATTTACTGCCTTACCTTGTTCCATAGCACTGTAAATTGAATATCTGTGGAGTTTGGAGTGTTGGTCATATCAATTTGAGGACAACATCTTGGGCTTTCTGAAGTTGTGAATGGGATTTTTCACTACTTCATAACATTTCACCGAGTGAATGGTTAGGCATTTAATTGAATAAAATAATGAGCAGACTATCATAAATGGAAATGATTGTTAGTTGTGGCCTTAGTTAATATGTCTATGGTCAACTGAAATGACAAAGGAGTCTTAAGAATACCCACTATAAATCCAGGGACTACATGTGACATTGTGCAACAGGGGGCAAAACGTCCATAGGTTTATTTCTCAAAAATAATAACAAGTAAGCTCTAAACTCTCTGCTCTTTCAAAATATAAACCATGCAAGATTCAAAACCCGTTTTTTTTTTTTTTGGGATGCCACAAAATACTTTTATTGTGAATGTTATATTCCAGTACTTCCGCTTTGTATTTGCCTCGCACTGGCCAGCTTAACACAACAAAATAGCAAGCAGCTATGGATGTGCGGCTGGTGCTCAGGGGAACCACGCAGAGTTGATGGTGTTAGCTTAGCCAACATTAGCCTGCTAGCGAGTTAACTGCCGCTGCAGGTTCGCCAGCATGCTAATAGAGGAAGCTTAACCGCAGCACACTGCAGCAACTCTCGTGTCTTTCTGTGTAAAGGGTCCAGCCGAGCTGAACTCCGCTGAGCCATGCGACAGTGGTGTGTCCCCGCTGCGACCCCACGCACTGAACCACTCCCGGGGCGCCTGTCTGTGTCACCCCCTCCATCAGGTAAGGCTGCCTCAATGACGGGACATCGTTTTACTTACTTTTAAAGCCAAAACCAGCTCGTTGCTTTGTTGTGAATCTTTTGGTTTTGCACAGAAAGAAGTCGGAATACCAATATGAGAACAGTGGCTGACTTAAATAACTTTGACTCTGATGGTTGTCCGTCTGTCCCGTAAACATAACATTTCAAACGGGATTCTCGGCAAAGATCTGGCAAGTTAACTCTTGTCCTGCTTATCGACAAACGTACATACGTGACAGTTTTGGACTTGAAGCATCCCGGTAATCATTGTCCTCCTGGTGAATTCGGCACACATCCCATTTAACAAAACCAACTTTTTATGGGCAGGTGGTCCTGCTCGTTGTAGCTCACCACTGTTTTTAGTGGATGGCTCTGCAAAATCATGAAAATATACCAATGCCGATTGAAGAGTGGGTTTTAATACATTTGTAAATCGCATCAAGTTGTGTGCCCCAGGTGTCATTTTTCAATTAGGCAAGGTCATGTCAAAGTGCTAGGTTTTCTAAATGAGTTGCATGCAATATTTACTCTTTAATCTGTACAATTACAATTTACGCTCCCCACAGCTCTGCACAGGACACACAGGTATAGAAAGTAAAAGTATGGATGGGTATGACTAGGCTGAGGGGACCTGATGTTAGGCTATGTATGCCAGGGTGATCTTACTTTAATTCCACCCTGGACAAATGGAGCAAGGTTAGCCCCAACTGTCTGTGCCAAGTGTTTTGAATCAGTGCCAAAATTTTGAATGACCCAAGGGTTCTTCAGAGGAGAATGCAGTCTGTTTCTTTTCCTAAGTTGACTTTTGTAAACCAGCCTTGTGTCAAGTCAGAGTTATTTGATGTAAGCATAACTAAATAGTTCAGTTATTTGCAGTTAAAGTGTTGTGTTCAAGAGAAATGGACCCTGACAAAGGAAGGGTAGTGTTTGAATTCGGCCTTGCATGTCTTTTTTTATTTGTGTTTTCATCTATTAATAATTCTTTCGTCATTTATCAGTTTGTCGGCAGGTCCTGTAAAAGTCTGCAACTTATTCTCTAAATTTAAGGTCTTTCAAAGGTGCTGAGTAGAGATAAATATAGCAGTATATGTCCTGGTAACACTTTGTGAAGTCTTGGGTTGCTGTTTATCTGGTGAGGATTCAACCCAGCCACGCAGACCTTTGGTTTATTAATAGAGCTACAGTTGGTTCATATTCACTTACAAAATTGGTGTTGTATTTCATTCAGAAAAGCCAGTCTCAAGTTCACTTTGGCAAAATTTACACCCCTCATTATGTATGCAGATGCCAGAATGGAGTGCTGTGAGGTGGAGCCACGCTACACCATTGAACAGATTGACCTCCTGCAGCGCCTACGTTTATCCGGCATGACCAAACCTCAGATCATCCACGCTTTGGAGTCCCTGGAGAGGCTCGACCCAGACCACCGCCCGTCGCACTGTGACTCTCACCCGGCCCCGTCCAACAACACCCCCACCACAGCCGCCCCAGCCCCATCCTCATCATCATCCTCCTCCTCTTCCTCGCTCTCCCTGGCATCTGCTACCACGCAGACCTCCGGCCTGGACGGCGCCGCGCTGTCCCCAAGCCATAGCTACGAGGCGTCGCCTCCGCCCCTGTTCCCTCCCAGCGTGGCCGTTCAGAGGTCGTTCAGTTACGACATGATGGGAGAGGAGGAGTGGGACCTGGAGGAGAAGGTGGAGGAGTACATGAGGTGAGAAGGAACAGGGGAGGAAGGTGGTGCTAATTGTTAAGAGAGAGCCAGAGATGAATTAGTGCCGAGTGAGGATGAGTTGAAGAGAAAGACCAAAAGAATAGTAGAGACAAAGAGAGACTATTATAACATCAGATAATAACAGCCTCTGTCCCCAGAGGTGCAGACTTGTTCTCCAGAATTTTAGTGGAGTTAATTCAGGTCAGGTGTTCAGGGATGGCTGAAAAAAGAGAAGC